GCTGGGGCCGGGCTGGGTAGTAAGGAAAGCCCTGCAGCTGCAGTCTGCGTTTCACAGGCCTGTGACTCCAGGAGCTGAAGCTGCTGGAGCACAGGAGGTGGAGGGCTGGCTCACCCCAGCCTCAGCCTCCCCAGCCCCAGCATCACAGGTGTCCAGAGGACTGGAGCCAAGCTGCGGGTGAAAACGCTCTTCCAGCCTGCCAAGCCCGGCGGGGCCACATTGGGGGCCCTGAGTACAACAGAGGCGGGCACGGATTCCGCACAGACTCCCCGACCCACCAAGCTCGGCAGTCACCTCCCCAAACAGGGCCAGCCAGGCAGGAGGGTGGGAGCGCCCCCTTCCCAGCCTCCCTCTCCCAGCAGGCACCCATTGACTCTGTTCTCACAGGAGGAGGAGGGCCCTAAGGCTAAGGCATCGCCCTGCTGTCAAAGTCACCTATGGAGGTGGAGGGGCCTGCTGGAGTTAAACGACGGACATGCTGGCCTTGAGAACTCCAGGCTCCTGAGCCCTTTGTACCTCCGCCTCCTGCTTGACTAAATGGAGACAACAGCCCCACTCCAGACCCTGGCGGAGAGGACTGAACGAGCCAGAGTCACACCAGCCTCCAGCACCCAGCCCTCATGCCCGTATAGGCCCCACCCGACCCTCCTACAGCCCTGTGAGGCTGACAAAGGTGCAGGTACTGATCCAGGCGCCCTGGTCCCAGCACTCTCCCGGCGGCCGGCAAAGACAAGGAGCACATTCAGATGTCGCTGAGCTCTGGCTCCGGCGGACACAGATGTGGAAGAGGAGCGGTCCCCACGCGTGATGGGGGCCCCGGAGTTGTCACTGTCGGCTCCATCGGTGTGGTTGGAGGAGCCTTGCGGTACCGACACGCTCGGTCCTCACAGCCCCCGGCAGCAGGCAGCATTATCTCATGACGTCTACTTCACAGGTAGAAAAGCTGAAGCACACAGGAAGGTCAAACTCCAGCTGAACTCGGCTGGTCTCTGCTGCGCTGGGTGGGGGACTGGACACAGAGCTACAAGGCGGAGCAGCTCAGGTGCAGTCTGAAGAAGCAGGCACCCAGAAAGGGGGCGGCGGGAAGCAGTGGAGGGGGGCCCTCTCCTCTGAGGGGTGGGGCGCTTGGAAATGGTCACCCCACATGCCGTCCACACACGCCCTTGAGAGCAGTCTCCGCATCTGCCCAACCTCAACCTCCACCTGCAAGTCCTTGCTGACACTGACACGGGTTTTACCCAAGGGAAGACGGTCCAGCGTGAAGGCGCTTCAGCTAAAATGGGGCACGGCAGGGCCTGGGGTGCAGGCACACTCAGCACGGAGGCCAGGGGTTTCGAGTTCAGGCAGCCCTGATACAGAGCGAGACCTTGCCTCTAAAACACAGAGGAAGTGTGCTAGGACACCAGGCATGGTGACCCCTGAGAAAGGCCACTGCTGACACTGGGACCCTGGAACTCACTCTGCCAGGAGCAATGCTCTATCAACGCCCGGCTTTCCTTGGGGCAGGAAATGGGCTCTAGCAGATACACCAAGCACCCCCAGCCCCCACCCAAGGGCGAAACCCCAGGGGCTGGCCCAGCTGCCCTGCCCAGGATGTGAGTGCTGGTGCCCGGAAGAGGTGGGTGCGAACAGGATTCTGGCCCTCGGTGCATCGGGTCCGCCCTGGCAGGCAGCGGGCTCCCGGCCTCGGCAGACTCCGCTTCTCAAAGACGTCCCAGTCCTGCTGCTGATGCCGCTGTCAAGAACGCGTCGCACTAAGAAGGCACCGTGCACCACGTCACTTGAGCAAACATTTATTGAGCACCTACCAAGTGCAAGGCACTGTGCTAGGTGCGAGGGAAATAGAGCGAACACAGACGGTCCCTGCCCGCGAGGAGCTCACAGTCTAGAGGGAGGTAAAACACAACACACACCAGCCGCGGTAACACACAGCACAGGCCACGCGACAGCACGAGGCTGCTTCTGGTCAGCGCGGGGCAGGGGCTCGGAGGGCCGGGCTGGGCCCCGAGGAGGACATCTGCGCGGCTCAGGGAGCGTCTGGGGAGGGGCTCCACAGAGACACCGGGGAGCCACTGAGGAGCACAGGGAGGAAGCGGGGCTTCTGGAAGACCCACCTGAGCGTTGGGGAGCGTGCCGGGCAGGCGGGTGCGCGAGCACGGGTGGCAGGCTCTCGGAGCGCGAGGGTGGGCGCGGAGCAGCCCGAGGCTGGGAAGCGGAGGGCTCCGCCGGGCTGTGACTGGACTAGGGGTCGCTGCAATGGGCACAGCAGCCAGTCGGGGAGAGGAGGACCACCGAGGGCGAGTGTGGTTTCTCGCGGTGTGGTCCAGGGCTTCACGCCACGCTCCCGAGTCCAGACCTCGGACAGCCCCGGGTTACCGTCTCACCCTGCTCCCCACAGGTGGCCCACAGTTTGAGAACCAACTGCTGAGAAAGACAGGGGTTAAGGATTTGTAAAATGAAGAAAAGAAACGAAGGAAAGTCTAGAAGGGAAAGAAATGGGAAAATAAGGTCAGTGGCATCCAATGCTGTCACTGCCCAGCGTGCACACCAGGAAGGACTAAGAAAACCCAGCAGTTAGGTCGTCCCCGATGACTTTTCCCAGACGAATCTGTAAACCTAGCACTCTAAGGGGCTGAAGCAGGAAGATCTCATGTCTGACCCCATCCTGGGTAACTTAGCAACTTAGTACTGTCACAAAAGAAAATATTTTTTGTTTTGTTTGAGACAAGGTCTCACTATGTAGTGCAGGCTGGCCTTAAACTCACTATGCAACCCAGGCTGGCTGTGAACTCACATCGATCTTCCTGCCTCAGCCCCCAAGTGCTGGGATTATAAGCACGTACCACCATGCCTGGAAGTCTCAACATTATTTTTAAAAATTTTAAAGTGCTGGGGATGTAGCTCCATGTGTAGGCCTTGGGTTCAACCCCCAGTACTGTTGAAAAGAAAATCAGAAGACAGACAGACAGAGAGAGAGAGAGAGAGAGAGAGAGAGAGAGAGAGAGAGAGAAAAGAGAGAGAGAGAGAGAGTGTGTGTGTGTGTGTCAGGGTAATGGAGAGGTAGATCATGCAGAAACAGAGGTGAGAAGTTATGATTAAATAAATAAATTACAACTCGGAGATGTAAGGAGAGGGGCTCAGGGACCCCGGAAGGGGCACACGTGAGCACAGGAAGCACTGATGAGAAGTGGAGACGGGGCAGCTGCGGTCTCCATGCACACAGCAAGCCCACAAACTTGACCCCATCCCTGGCGACATGGCAAGCCTTCCCGACCGTGCCAGCTATCGCCCAGGAGGGCTGCAAAGCCTGCTGCTCTCTCCCCTGGCTGCCAGCCCAGGAGGTCTCCAACACAGGCTTCCCGACAGCCCAAACAGGTCCTCTGCACTCCCAGAGGCAGCAGCCCGGGCCCGTCCCACAGCCCCCTCCACGAACGCCAAATGCCGAGCGGCACAGGATGGCCACGCTGCACGGAGGTGGCAGGAGCTACATGGAGGGGACGGAGGCAGGACCATCTCCCACGCCCACCAGCAACAGCAAGGCGAGAAGGCACAGCTGAGGACAGCTCGTCTTCAATGGTTTGATAACCGCGTTTTTAAAATAGTAAACATGATGGATTTCAGAAAGAACTGTGAGTTATGCTTCACACCGTGACTTATAAAGTAAGTAATGCTCCTCTGTACTCTTCCCACTTACTCTTCTTCCCTCCCATGTCCAAAAAGGGGGTGGCAGACCCAGAAACAGTGTTAAGAATACAAAGTTCCCAGGACTCAGGTCAAGTTCAAAGTGCTTCCACAGCCCAGGAGACCTGGGAGCCCTTGGCCAGGCCAGCTCTAGCTGGCACTGGAGGAGGCACAGCCTCGGTGCCTGGCAGTCTATCTCCTGGACTGAACCCTGGGCCAGGCAGTCAGACACACCACAGGACAGGAGACTGTGACTGAAGTCACTTCCGTCACGTGCCTCAAACCTCTGCCTCAACTTCCACAGCCGGCCACGCTGGCAGCCTGGCCTGAGAAACAGCTGATAACCACTTCAGCTTTAGGATGCACACCCAGGCACCTGGAGAAAACACAACCGCAACACTAGTCTGCCCACACGGAGGGCTCGGATTCACCTTCCTAGAGATACAGGGGCCAAACAGAACCAACAGGACACAGCCGGGCGCACGCAGGCCCCACACCACGCAGGACAGACCAGCACCAAGTCCACAGCCACTCCTCGGTCCGGAAGAGACACCGCCCACAGGGCAGACAGCGCCCACCGTGAGCTGCCTGGGGAGAGCACGGGTGTGGAGCACACAGCCCTTTGAAAGCCCAGACAAGAGCACAGATGTCAGGAGCCACCAGGGAAGAACCTCACGGACACGAACCGGAGCAACACCAAAAACAGACAACACTAACAGAATCGGTTCCAAGAAAGACTCGGGAAGAGATGCCTACGACACTGAGGGACAAACACCAGAAAAGACAGGGCTCTGGCGGCCCCGTGGAAGCTTCTAATGCTATTCATTGGCTTGGGTCATCTTGAGAATAGAAAACTTTTTTGGCAAAGCTGTACAAACCCCACCCTGGCGCACTTCCCCACGGTTCGGGCTCCGCACTGAACTCCTCACCCCACGCCGCGGTCCTGTCTGGAGTCGGGTGTGCGGAGGCCCCAACCTGTGAGTGTTGCGGCACTGGGCAAGGAGTTCGGCCCTGCCCGGCTGTGCCCGCTGCAGCCCTGGACACAGCTGGGCAGGGGCGTACTGGCCTCGGCTCCTCTCCTGTGGGGCGGGAGGGCAAGGAGGGCGGGACCACACGAGCTGGGAGATGGCTAGCCCTGATAGTCTAACTTGGCCCTGGTCATGAACAATGGCTAGGCACGAAGTGCCACCTAGTGGCACCACTTGTCCACTCTCACAAACGGCTCCAACAAAAGCACCCACAGGAGCAAAGCACTCCAGGGGAGGTGGGCGGGGAGCCCGCTTCATGTTAGTGGACAGGACATATTCACCTCAAGAAAATATACTTTAAGAGCAACTGCTTTCCTTAAGAAAGCAACTCTTTTATTTAGAAAGGCTAACCATATCCATTTGTCAATATCCGCTTTAAGGAAAATAGTTTTAAAAAACATAAAAATGTAAATACACTGGAACTGCTATTAAACAGTTGTGAACAGGCAGAAAATGTATACTTTTCTCTTACAGAAATGTTAAATCTGTAATAGCAGCATAATTTATATATAGAAAAAAGCTGGTTTTGGAAATCCAGGGTTGTTCTTATACACACCTTTTCCTTTTCTCTATACAAGGGTGTCTACACGAGGAATGTCTTCATCAGGAGCTTCCCAGCACGTGCAGCCTCTGCACTGTCACCAGCGGCCTCAGCTCGGCAGCCTCAGTCCAACACCATGGCAGAGAGCGCGTTCAGGTCTTTCATGTACGGGTGGGCCACCAGGATCTGGTCGATTTTCAGCCTCTGTTCAGAGTCCGGGAAGATCTTCAGCAGAGCCTCCCTCAGCTCGCTGGTTTCTGCAGGGGACCTCTGGGCAGGCAGGGGCAGGCTGGCCAGGAGTGGGAGGCGGGGCTGCAGAGGGAGCCAGGGGCCCGGGCTTGCTCCCTGGGTCCGGGCCAGAGGCTGGTGGCTGGCGCTGGCTGGCTGGGCACCAGGGACCCTGAGTCCAGGGTCAAACATGCCCACCTTTGGCAGAGCGCTGAGCAGGGGCTGCATGTCTCTGCGGACAAAGTAAGTCCTGGTGAGCTGGGTACAAGATAAACAGAGAGACTTTAAACTATGTGCTGCTGGTTCTGAGGCTCCAGAGGCTGCTCCCTGGCTTCTAAACCCGACACCAGACTGCCGAGCAGTGGGGACACAGGCTCCCACAAGGCACCATGAAAGACCACAGGTAGTACTTCTGGTCTGTCAAAGCAGGGACTGTGCTCCTCATGTGCTGATCTTACTCTCCGAGAGCTGCTGTCTGAAGACCACACCTGTTTCAGTGCTAACCCAAAGATGCACATGAGATTTTAAAATACAACCCGGCTGGGCATGGTGACCACACCTGTAATCCCAGTACTCAGGAGGCTGAGGCAGGCGGATCGCCGAGAATTCAAGGTCACCCTGACATACACAGCAAAACCCTCTTTCAAAAAGTAAAACAAAACACAGACCATAGTTCCCACTCTTCTGGAGATCCTCATTTCAGGTAGGGTCTGGCTGATGGGAATTAGAAAAGGGACCTACCCTTTGGGCAGAGGCAGCCCTCATAGACCTATGGATTCTGCCCTGCCTGACAAAGCATGGTGAGACAGGTATGTGCACAGCGACGGTGTCTGTATCATTTTTAAAAATTCCCAGAGACTCTGGCTTGCAGTTGAGAAATGAAGCTAAATGTTCTCAACTTCGAAAGCCTGACTAACCTGAGCATAGTCACTCTCCACAGGAAGCAGGGCCAGTTTCCTCATCAGCAGACACCTCTGTAAAGAGCCACGAGGCGAGAGGAAAGGGGCAGGCAGGCAAGATCACCCCGACCTGGCACCCAGAAGAGGATTTTGTAGTTGAGGAAAAAGGGGATGAACTGATATTCTCCCAGTGTGGCAGGAAAGTAAGTGCTCATCTGTGCATTAAAACTCAAAAGGCTCCAAGACAAAGGGCTTCCTAGAAGACAGCTCTGTGCAGAGAAAAAACAAAACAAAAAGCCACCACCCGGCACCACCCAGCCCAAGCCTACAGCCACAAAGGCAGTGCTGCGAAGGGCGAAGAGCAGCAGCGAAGTCTCCTAGGCTGGAAAGCGGGGAGCAGGTGAGGTACAGCCCAGTGGGAAAGCACTCACCTGGCAGGTGAGGCCCTGCGTGCATTCCCCAGATGGTACCCTGAAAATACCTCCAAAACAAAATGAAATGAAATACAACCTGGGACACAGTGTGTCTTTCTCCTCCTAGACCCCCAGAGCCATCAGTGCAAATACTGCTGGGGTTTACACAAAACAGGTTATATGCTCTGCCAATAAGGCACATAAAAAACCGATTAGTAATTTTTGTTACCAGAGAACTGTGCAAACAGAAGCAACTACTGGCACTCAATAATCACTATTTTCCTCAAAAAACAAACCTGCCAGGTGCGGCGGCACATGCCTCTAATTCCAGCACTTGAGGAGACTGAGGCAGGAGGATTCCAAGTTCAAGCTCAGGCTGGGCAACTTAGCAACACCCTATCTCAAAATAAAAAAGGGTGGGGATTTAGCTCAGTGCAAAGGCCGTGTTCAATCCTCAGTACCAAAAAATAAAACTCAGCCAGACGGTTAACACCTGCAATCCCAGCACTTGGGAAGCTGAGGCAGGATGACAGCAAGTTCAAGCCTAGCCTGGGCTACATAGTGAGACCTGGGTTACATAGTGAGACCCTGTCTCAAAAAGGCCAAAAACAACGAACAAAAACAACTCAAACTTCAACAAAGGAAACCTAAAGGTTAGATTTAGGTCCTAAACTATCAAACAAATTTCGGAAAAATAGGCACTACTGGGTTCTCCATTCAGTGATGGTAGAAAGTAACTGTCAGGTAGATTCCTGAGTCGTAAATAAATTAATGTAAGCACAACCTACATAAAGGAAGTGACATGGAAGGTGAATGAAGAAAGGCATTCACCCACACAAACTGAGCCTACCCAGCATTCATAGGAAATGACCACCGGCCTGGAAAATGTTGGGCTCAAAGAAAGTTTAGGTCCCTACCGCTCCTAGGATTAAAACAAAAGGGATAAAAACTCACTCTTTGGTCTTTTCAGGTGCTGGCTTGGTTTCCACATGTGCTATACTTTCACTAAATCTATGGTTTTAAAGAAATTAAAATGCCATTCTGAGTTTGCAGAGATAACGTTTGTACAAAGCACAAGGTATCAGATTGAAAAGAACATTCAGACACAAGGTAATGGGAAGCAATACCTCAGAGAGACCTCCTTCTGAAGAAACTCTTCTAACCGAGGTCCACTTCTTCCCAGAGGGTCATCAGGAACCATAAATATGTCCCCCACAAAGGTGTACTGGAGTAACCTACAACACAGAAAAGTCACAGAGCTGAAGCAACCCGACTTTCTGTGGCTGCAGAAACCAAGATGCAGCTCCAAGTAGTTACCCAATTTCAAAGCCACGGTCAGCCTACAAATTCTAAGACCACTTACCTGCCGTGAGGGGGAAAAAGTTCACACTCACATTAAACCATTTTAATTTTCATTTGGACACAGAAAAATTAGTCCAAAAAACTTTTAGCAGTTGTCCCCACATTTTTTATTAGACCTTTAGATTTTTTTCTAGGCTTGGGAAGATTTTCCTCATGTAACTATGGGATTTAAAGACTTTCTGCTTAGGCTATAACAGGTGCTGTCTATGAAAGCTTAATTCTATAGTAAAACTGGAATGCGTCCATAGGCAAAACCACCGCAATAACCTTTTTAAAAAGGAAAACAAGGACATGGAGGGGCATACCTACAAGCCCAGCACTGGGAGGCAGGTGAGGCTAGCCTGGACCATAGAGTGAGACCATGTCTCAAAAAAAAAAACCTTAAAAAAAACCCTCAAAAATTAAAGACATAAAATAAAAACAATATGATACGACTTTTCTACAAAAGAAAAGTCAATCAGGAGGGCGGTAGTTATCAAGTGTGGGGCAGGCTGGGGCACAGGAGTAGCATCCATGCCTCGCATATGTATATGAAGCCCCAGGTTCAATCCTCAGCACTGGGGTGCAAAACCCTTGTGCTCGCGTTTGTTGTCCAACCTAGCTTTCCACTTTGCTTATGCAAGTTCTGGATCAATGGATCAGTTAGCATCTCACTCCATGCAAAGCCTCCACGGAGCACCTAATGAGCATGGGGGGAAAAGCCCAGCAGGACCGTGTCTGGAGACTAATGGCTCATCAACTGTGCCCAAAGGTCAAAGACCAACTCCCGGTTCAGCTCCCAAACCCACAGCGTGCTCTTTTCTTCCTCCCCCTGCCCCGTCTTTGCAACTGTATATGGGTCAAAATCCCTGCACCACTTAACCTTTACCTGGGCAGTTATAGCAAAGCTTTTCGAAAACTCTAATAATTTTGCAAACTTTCAATACCAGACAAGGAGCAACTGAAACCCCACATCTCATCATGCTGGTTTACATCTGGTTGTACTTGGCTTGTCTGTTTTCATTTCATGTTTTAAGACTGGGGCATGAATGGCTTATGCCTAGCACACAGCTATATCATGCTTTTCGTTTTGCATAACTGGTCAGGCGACACTTGTTAACGAGAAGTCCTACAAGCCAGTGCTCACTGATGTAAAGGCAGTTTCCAGTAGCCCGATGTGTTCACAGGGTCACGTGCATTAAAAAATTTACTGCAGCACAGCCCAACCCTGCACGTGTTCCCTGTACAGATGATTATGCTGAACTGCCGAGAGCTCCTGACAAGTATCAGATACCAAAAGCAGAAATGATCTCTCCTACGCCCCTCAAGAAGTGAAGCCCTAGTCAGCACACTGCTTTTGGTCCTGTCCTCTTGCCCGAGTCGTGTACTTCAGAAGTCACGTGCTCCTCTTTTACTTCACGGCTGAGAGAGCAGGCAGGCAGGGGTTTGCCGCATCGCCCGGGACGTGGCCGGCACGGCAGGGACCACTCGGGTGCAGAGCAGCGCTGCTCGTCTGCCACTGTCTCCTGCAAGACGCACACGGGACACGAAGCAGGCCACACGCAGAGTCCTTGGCAGGGCCCAAGGCACGGCAGGCAGGCAAAGCGCAAACAGAGCAAACACAGAAGCTTTCTAACTAAAAACAAGTTAGAAAATATTACCTTTTTGTAATAATTTCTCGCCAAGAGACGGACTCAGTCACAAATTCTCTGAAGTTATCATTTGTTACAATTATGCCACCAGTTTTGTCCGCTAAATGTAGCAGAAACCTATAGTAATACAAGAGAGTTTCAAATGAGCAAACAGACACCCCTGGCTTCCAGAGACTGTGTTATAAGCAAATAAAAGGACATCCTCTACTTAGGAAAATCAAAGAATTCAACCCAGCCTGCACAATAGTTTTAAGTCTCTGTCAATTAAAGACCAACTAGAAACAATGAATATTTATGAAATTAGTGTTTATAAACAACTTTTCCGTACAATCTAATTTTTAAAAATGACTTCAGCTATAATGTGCACACGTTTCTAGGAAAGTTACACGACCAATAAGCAGCACTGAGAACATCTGAGGACCGCAGCAGTGGTGAGCCAGAGGACACGAGCCAGCGAAGGTGCCACTCAGTTCCTGCTGCGAGGCTGCAGGACTCTGGCTCCAGGTCAGCTGCTCGGCACAGTCAGCCCTGCAGCTGCTTTTTAAGTTCATACGTTCATTTTCTGCTTTGATTTGAGAAGAGATGACAAGAATAGTCACTGTGTATTCTGTTTAGCCTAAATTTTGGATTTACTCAAAAGCAAGCTACAAAAGGGCACATGGAGATGACAAAGAAACGGTAAGAAAAGTGTTCTGTTTAATGGCTGGAAGTTACTTCTGCTCGCACTGTCTTAACAAGAGATTTGTAAGGGTAATGTAAATTTTTTCTATTAAATTAGGATGACTACATATGTCTGAGACAATGTAGACAAAGGCAGTGAAACAAACTAAATCATGAAAGGTGCAAACAACTGCCCATAGAGTAATGTGTTCTTAAAGAACAATAAAAACCAAAACAAAAAAACCAAATCCAGTAGGCAGAGTGGCACACACCTGTAATCCCAGCACTCAGAGGCTGAGGCAGGAAGATCTAGCAAATTCAAGACCAGACTGGGCTATATACTGAGATCAGGTCTAGCCTGGTCCACATAGCAAGATGATGTTTCCAAAAAACAAAAAAACCCAAAAAGCCCAAACGGACAGAAACTAAACACCAACTGCTAGGTGTGGTAGTATACCCCTGTAATCCCAGCACTCAAGAGGCTGAGGCAGGAGGATCAGTCTGGGCTACAAAATGAGTTCAAGGCCAAACCTGCACTACATAGTGAGATCCTATCTCAAAAAAAAACACAAAGATAAACAAACCAAAACTAAAAAAAAAAACAAAAAACAACCAAGTTTCATTAGTTTCAGGGGTCTTAGGTCCGTGCCTTGGAAAATAAACATGATTTAGTTCTGATAAAAATTTTATTTCTGAATTACCTGTAATGGCAGAGTGAAGGAGCAATGGTGCTCAGGTAGTAAGGCTTCCGCATGTGTGCGTGTACCATGAACAAGACCCAGAGAGCCGAATAAAACCCGCAGCTATGTATCTGCATGTGTGCCTGAGTTCTACAATGCTAGGAGACATGAAGGCTGTCTGAGCCCAACCTGTCCTTCTGTGGGCGCTCTCCAGGGCCTGCCCTCAACCCTGGGCCGGCAAGGACGCAGCCTTCTCACCACTGCTCCACACGCTGTCCCCAGCTCACAGGCCGCTCCTCCACATCACCTGATTCTCCCCATCCGACCTGGCCATGCAAAGGGCAGTGCCAAGGCTCAGATTCAAAACGTCCCAAGGTCTCTGGTGTGGAAGGGACTGGGGCACAGGGCGTGCTGCTCATCAGCGGGTGCGTCCGTGGATGAGTGCAGCGCCTGAGTGTGCTGGCTATGGGCCCCCACCAAGGGGTCACTGTGCTCCTGCCCGCTCCTCCCTCTCTGCTCCTGGCTGTGCAGCCTCTCCTCCACCATAGCCTCTGCCATGCCGTCCCTGCCCAGGAGCCAGGCAGCCACAGACTGACAGAGCCAAGGAAAGCTCTCTTCCTTCACGTCGTGGGTGCCAGGGATTTTTTCCCAACAATGGGAAAGTGACTAGACATGCTGTTGGTGCGAGGACCCAAGCAGTAAGCACGTGTGTGCGGTGCTCCCAAGTCACCTTGGCCGAGCCCGGCTCTCTCCAAACCAGCTGCTCACTCCTTAGCTGCAGTCACAAGCTGCACTACCTTCAGTAGGGCTGGGGAGCACTCGGGGAGGAAAAAACAAGCAGCTGCTGCTTAGCTGCCCAGTGCAGACTCCACTCACGATGGCTCACATCACTATGCGCCACTGGTTAAATTGCAAGGGTTTCACTGGGTGTGGTGGCTCATGCTTGTAATCGTAGCTACGTGGGAGCTGTGGCAGAAGGATCACAAATTTGAGGCCGGCTTAGGGAGTAATGAGACACTGTCTCAAAATGTCCCGGGGCGGGGAAGGTGCCCCAAAGCACTGCCCTGCGTTACCAACCTGCGTCCCTTCTCTCCCAGACACACATCAGGGGAAGGGTGTGGCACCAGCACGTCCCCAGAGCCTAAGAGCCTGGTCAGCAGTCAGGCAAGGTTTTAGGAAAGACACATACGAAGTGTGGACTAAATTTTAATGTCTCGGAAGCACCAGCACTGCTGAGCCATCTACCAGGGGAAGAACCGGAACTTCCTTCTCTCAGGATCAGTCGAGACAGCTTGCACGGTGTGGAGGACACCCAGAGGAAAGGCATCACCATGCAGGCCCAGCGTCTGGCCACACCAGACCCGGACAAAGGGATGACCCTGAAAGCTACGCTCTTTCCCACCCTCCCTTTTTCTCTGGCATGTGCTAAAAAGACAGGGTGCTGCCCTGACTGGTGTCACATTTCCGGGCTCAGCCTCCAGGACAGTGGGGATGACAGGTGCGCCCCAGTGGACCCAGCAGGAAGCCACTCAGGGCTCCACATAAAGGCAAGATAGGCACAACATGCACCAGAAAGATGACCCTAGGTACCTACCTCAGATACATTTTATTAAAAAACAAAAAGCTCTAATTCAACAGCTTTTGGGGCTGGGGATTTAGCTTAGAGGCACAACGCCTGCCAGGCAAGCGCAAGGTCGTGAGTTCAATTCCCGGTACCGGAAAAAAGCCAAAAAATAAAATAAAATAAAATAAATCAACAGCTTCTTTTGTGATGTTCCTAAGCTCACACAGCAAAGACTGCTAAGCACATAACCTTAACAATCATGAACTGTGAAAATCCTCGGGCGCTTTGAGCCCACATCACCCACAGGAAGGCCCTCCCCACCCGCCCAACTCCAGAAAGGAAAACCTTTCATACCTGTCATCATGAGACGCAATTCTTTCTCCAAAGACCATCCGAGCAGGAGTTAGAGATAATATTCCAAGCTCCTGGAGCTGGGTGAGGAAGTGCTGTTCTGTTCATGGAATAAGTTGAATACACATATTCAGAAAAAGGCTCTCTTCCCAGATGGTAAATGAAAGTACACCTGAACGCCTGCCAAGGGGAGTTGTAAACTTTTGTTCTATTGACTCAGTTTTACTAACTCACTGGAAAGAAAAAAAAAATCCAGTAAGACCTATACTAAGGCAAATGCAATGTATCAATTTACTTTGTCTTGTTTTTGTTTCAAGACAGAGTCTCGCTGTGCAGTGCAGGCTGGCCGTGAACTCACTTATGTAGTCCAGGCTGGCCTCAAACTCATGGTGATTCTCCTGCCTCAGCCTCCCAAGCATTGGGATTACAGGTATGTGCTACGATGCCTGGCTTTTGGTTGTTTTTAAACACAAAAAGCCTCAGTCCAATTGCTTCTTAAAACATAAACCTACGTTTAGTGAATCTTGTCATTTAGATCTTTCCCAAAGCCATACTCCAAGCAGTAGGGGACAGAGAGGGCGACCAGAGTGGTAGAGAGTGGGTGAACATCGGACAGGAAAGCACACCCGCAGGTGCAGTGGGGGAGGAAGCCACTCTGCCAGTCCGAGAGAGGTGTGTGCGGCTAACCAAAAGTCCGTCAGCGTCTCCTCCAGCTGCCGGGCCAGCCTTACTACCTTTACAGCGTGGGTGGTAGCACGGAGGGCCATAGGCATATTTCAGAAACCCAGGAATGAGCAAGAGAGGCTCACTGCCTTCCATGCAGTGGCACCAACACTGGCCCGGACTGAAGCGGCTGAAGAGATTGACTCCCAGAACCACACAGTGCACAGCGTACGCAGACTTGGACTCATGCAGGGGTCCAGCTGAAAATCAGCCACAGAAATAGCAGATCTGCCTCGCTCCTCATGTGCCTTCTGTCAGGACACACGCTCTCCAAACTGAAGCAAGCTGGCAGTGCTCCGGGCACCTCGGGAGGGCTGAGCTTGACTGCCACCCATCCACCTTTTCTCCCTGGGCGCTGAGGTGTGAGCTGCCTGCACAGCCCTCAGCCATCTTCCTCCAGGGCCTGGTCTGTCTGGACTACTTCAGGACTGACGTAAGTTCAGCTCTTTCGTGTGGCCTGCAAGTAAGCCATGAAGCTCTATGATCAACAGAAATGGTTTAGACTACTAATTAGGCTACTGAAAAAACAATGCAATAGCCAAACGTAACAAGGGGCCAACTCAACAAGTGGGCTTTACAAAATACTATTTCAGCAGCAGAAACCCAGCCTGATAGAGGCCACATTTTAATTTTTAGAAAGTCAAAAAAATTTTTGTGAGGCAGGCGTGGTGGCAAACGCCTGTAATCCCACCACTCGGGAGGCTGAGGCAGGAGGACTGCTGGGAGTTTGAGGCCAGCCTGGGCTACAAAGTGAGTCCAAGGCCAGCCTGAACTGCACAGCAAAACCCTGTCTAAAAAAAAAAAAAAAAATTTGTGGTATTTAATAAACTCTAACACAACTTTGCAACAACTACAACACAACTTTGCAACAACTACCTTTCTCGCCTCCCTCCCTCTACCTTTTGTACTGTCACACTCCCTTCAGCAGATTCTACAGAAGTTGGAGCAGATTTACCACTCTGTGGTTAATGCTGCTGGCTATTCTCAGTACCAGCCCCAAATCAGCAGCCAATTATTAAACGTCTGCCCAGGAATCCAAAGAAAGCAGCTGGCTCACCTGTGACATTGGGGTCCCGTCTCGTTCTCCACTGAGGGACAAACACAGTGATGTTTCTGTTGCCAAGCTTCCAAAAATACTCAACCGCAATTGCAATTCCACGACAAGAAAAGAACTTTTTCAGGCCATGGCTAGAAGAAAAGTAAAATTACTTCAGTTTAAAGTATGTTCAGGGTGTAAGTTTTAAAGCAAACCATCAACAGAATGAAGAGACAACCCACACAATTGGAAAAAAATCCTGCCAGCTACTCATCAAAGGACTAGTATCTAGAATACTAAAAAAAGGAAAAAAAAAAAAATCAGAGCCCCCGCTTATAAAGATTCAATCCAAAAATGGGCATCTGAAATGAACACACACTTCTCAGATGAAGAAGGAGAAATGGCAAATACATGAAAAAATGTTCAACATCACTGGTCATTTGAGAGATGCAAATTAAAACAATGCTGAGATTCCATCTCACTCCGGAAAGAATGGCTGCCATCAATGAATCAAGTAGAAACAAATGCTGGGGAGGCTGTGGGGGCAGGGAGGAACCCTCTGCATTGTTGGTGGGAGTGTAAACTGGTACAACTACTATGGAAATCAGCAGAAATCCCATTTGATCCGGCTATTTCCCAACTAGGTATCTTCTTGAAGACACCATATTACAGTGCTACATGCACACCCATGTTTATAGCAGCAAATTCGTAAGTTAAACCTTAGAAACAGCCTATGCCTGTCAAGAGATGAATGGGCAAAGAAAATGTGCTGTCTATACACAATAGAGCACCACTCTACCACAAAGCAGGACAAAAGAGGCAGCTGCAGGAAGCTGCCCCACACAGCAAGCAGTGAGGAGCCCTGGGGCACAGGGGTCTTAAAAAGCATCTCCTCAAATAAATCTCAAGTATTTCAAGAATAAAAAGAAGAAAAATACTGTCCCAGAGATGGAGCGGGTGTAGATTCCCGCCGTGCGGCAGCTCCCTGCCCTGGCTAGCACGCTGCCCACTGCACCAGTGGGTGTCAGCTGTGCTCTCGTCCTCCGGAGCAGGGTGCACACCGAGCAGCAGAGGGGATAGCAGATTCGGAAGAGCAGCTCCTCTTATAGCAGCTCGCACCCACCCTCTCAGGGAACTGCAAGAAGACCGCAGAAGGGCCCGGAGGTTTAGCTCAGCAGCACAGAGCCTGTCTGGCAAGTGTGAGGTCGTGAGTTCGATTCCCAGTACCAAAAAAAAAAAAAAAACAAGACTGCAGAAGAGGCCACTCCAGCAGACTCAGGGAAGCAGATACATCCATTCTTGATAAAATGATCCAGAGTCCTCTGTTCATCTAAAAGCACCCAAACACGGCAAGGAGTCTAACAACATGACATCTGTGACTGGAAAAAGAGTCTGTGGGGGACAGTTTTTAAATCTTTAAAAGAGAGTAAACTGGCTGGGTGTGGTGGTGCACGCCTGTAATCCTAGCACTCGGGAGGCTGAGGCAGGAGGATCATTGTGAGTTCGAGACCAGCCTGGGCTCCAAAGTGGGCTCAAGGCCACCCTGAACTGCATAGCGAGACCCTGTCTCAAAAAGACAAATAATAAAATAAAATAAAACAAAATAAAATAAAGGATAAATCATGTATTATTTTAACTGCTTAACAGTTAATGTCACCAGCGCCGATGTCATGATCCAAAATACAACAGCCTGTTATCTCCTGGGAAAATGGAAGAGTGCATGTGTTTAGTCCTCAAAAGGATAAACCCTTCAAGGAAACGCACCAAAAAGGCCTGTCAAATGCCTTGTGTTTTTCAACAGACAAATGTATACCGCCCACAGCGCCTCTTTTCCAGCCTGGCTACAGAGTGAGTACAAAACCAGCCTGAACTACACAGCAAGATTCTGTCTCCAAAAGAAAGAAAGAAAGAAAATACCAAAACATGTTTTCCATATCACGGCAGACACACAACTAAATGAAGCTTGTCCAAAGCAGAGGATAGGTGACAGCTGATTTAAAAAAAAAAAAAAAAACTCAGCGCACCTGGAATCCTGGCACTCTGGGAGGCTGGCACAGGAGGATCAAAAGTTCAAGCCCAGCCTGGACACCTGAATGACTTGGCAAGACACTGTCTCAAGGTTTAAAAATAAATGAATACAAAAGGCCCTGAGATGTAGCTCAGTGCAAAGGCCCTGGGCTCACAGCAGACGAGACAGTGTGGGGGAACAGAGAAAGCCCTTCCAAGTTACCCGACAGAGTGATTTCCTCCCATAATGTCCTTCATACGAACAGCCACGGAACCTGCTAGAGGAAGATTAGAGTGAGGCTCGGTAAAACGCACTGCTCTAGCAAGCGAAGGGGCAGACCTCATCTGCAGGAAAACCACCGACCCAGACAAGTCAGGTGCTCTTTTGCTGAAGTTTCAGGCTGACGGAGCCCAAAAGTTACTTGGCCATGCTGCGATGTCTGGCCATCCACCGCAACCAATTTCCATGACTCATCACTTGACTCACTCACAGTGTCGGGAAAAACCAAGTAAAGATATGCATAGTAGGCAGCACAGGGAAATGTGCCCCGGAATTTCTCACGGTGGAGATGAGCTGCACACACCAAGTCACACTGGGCAGCTACAGAAAGGAAGCTTCAGCTTTGCACAGATCCAGGAACGGTGAACCTGAGCCCCGCTGGGTGCGGCTACTCTACCCTCGGCTACTCCACCCTCAGGTCTTATTGCTTAAGGACTCAGATTTCCTTTAACTACTTCCCCACTAGTTGGGTCAAGTGGGTGAGGTTTACCCAGCAGAACTTATGCAACCCAGCCCTTAAGGATCCAGGGATGCTCAGTCCTGAAAATTTGACCTCCACATCTGTGGGAGGGGCCAGTGAGGCTGCCCAGGAGAGGCAGGTAAGGCCCAGACCTCTACGCAACACCAGACATGACTTCGAGCCTGTGTGATGTCATTCAAGTTACAGGAACTGCTGCCTCCAGAACTGGTACGAAGAGATCACGTTTTAAAAAATAAAGCACAATACCTGACACATGACAGGTACTTCAAGATTTACACTACTTGTTTCGCCAGGCGTAGTGGCACACACCTATAATCCCAGCACTCGGGAGGCTGAGGCAGGAGGATCCTTGTGAGTTCAAAACCTGCCTGGGCTATAAAGAGAGCTCAAGGTCAGCCTGAACTGCATAGTGAGATCCTATCTCAAAAATAAATAAATAAATAAATAAACGACTTATTTCATTAAATAATATCTTCATTTAACATTTAAGTTGATCATTAGAATGGCAACCATGATGTCTGTAAATGAGTGAAGAGTCCTTTAAAAATCTTAATCTAGGGCCAGGTATATAGCTCAGCTGCACAAGTGCCTGCCTGGCAAGTGCAAGGTCCTGAGTTCAATTCCCAGTACCAAAAAACAACAATAAAAATCCTAATATCTCGGGCTGGGGTATGGTGGCAAACACCTGTTATCTCAGCACTCCGGAGGCTGAAGCAGGAGAATCACTTTGAGTATGAGGCCAACCTGGACTACATACATATAGCAAGACCATTTCAAAAAACAAAACAAAACAAAATTCCTAATCTACTGGGCCAGGGGCGGGCGGGGGGGGCCTGCTGGGCCCACAGGCCCCACCCACCCCACAGCAATACCTGGGGTCCTGGGCACAGGGCAGCCAGCCTGGAGCCCTGACTGTGGGCCTCACACCTGTGGGCCTTACCCACCATACCCAGCTGGGCCAGGCCCAGGTGTAGGGCCCTGCAGGGACCTCTGTGAATCGTACATATCACCAAGTGCCTTCAACACAGCTCTCTCCTGCTCGCCACTGGGTGAAGTGTCGGGCCCTCCTTCACGTGTCTCCAGCCACCAGCGCAGGGGGCCAGGTCCCTGTTTCCTAAGGGTCCAAGTAAGTATGTACATTTCTCAGGCCAGGGCCAGCAGGGGGCTGCCTGAAGCCCATTTTTCATGCTATTACCTCTGCAATTATTTTTTCAAAGGTACTTAGATAACAAGAGATAAGTTTTTCAACCTAAAAAATCCTAACCTATAGCCGGCTGTGGAGCTGCACACCCGTAATCCCAGCAATTGGGAAGGTGAAGCAGGGGGATCTATGTCAGCCTGGGATACACAGCAAGAGCCTATCTCAAAAAAATAAAAAATGTCGCACACGCCTGTCATCCCAGAACTCAGGAGGCTGAGGCAGCAGGATCAATTCAAGGCCAGTCTCAGCTGGCTCATAATGAGCTCATAATGAGCTCAAGGCCAGCCTGAATTGCATAGTGAGACCTTGTCTCAAAAAAACCAAATAAACCAAAAGCAACAACAAACAAAAACCAAAAACCTTACCAAAGCAAACAAATATCCTATCTCTACGTCTTCCATTCACCAACAAGTCTTTATTGAGTACCCACCATGATGGGTCCATGGCTGTTGAGGGTAGTTCCATGAACACAACAGACAAGCCCCCTCACTGAACTCACAATCTAATCTAACTCACACTTAGTGTGGAAACATCTGGTTTGGAGTAGGGTTAAATCCCACCCCCACTCCAGCTAACTTTCAGTTTGCTGTGATGAAATTCACATAAAATAACCATCTGCAAGTTACCACTTCAGGGGCATTTAGTACACTCACAATCCTGTGCAAGCACCACTCATATCTGGTTCCAGAACATTTCCGTCACCCCCAAATTAAACCCCACACCTATCAGTAAGCAGTTTCTCTCCAGGGTTAATTTTAATCACTGACATTTTCAGGTCAATCTATACCCAATTAAGTAACCATGTCTCCTTAGGCAACACATCCTTTTGTGAAAGTTCTGCCTTTAAACTGAAACATCTGAATTCAACAGAAATTCAGATCCTCCTCCAAATAATCAGTTATTAAGAAACATTAGCAAAAGCTTGCAGATTTGCCTTAGTGCACAAATCCGTGGTGTTCAAAAGAGAAAGCACTGTCCCAAGGGTGTCAGGAAATAGGTGCTCACATTCTGGTATCTCAAGGACTAGGAGGGCACAGATGGGGGGCACACGCCGAACACTCTGGCTCTGGTAGCCAGCAGCATTAACTCCACCGTGACTCCTAAGGGGCCACCACTCCTAGAGGTACTTTACAAAGGATCCCATCAGGGCTCAACCCCTGTCTACTTGCACCCTTTTTCTCTGAACATCCGTGTGGGGCATCTTTCCACGTACAGAAGAGTTTCCACAGGAGGAAGTGCGGAAGTAAAAGGGATTAAGATGCAGTATGTATCAATACCCCACCAGGAATATATTCACTATGTATCACAAACATATACAAACAAAAAAGAATTTTTTAAGAACAAGTTTCTAAAAAAAAAAAGAAAAGTTTCTCAACCAAGTTGGGTGGTGCACACCTGTAATCCCAGCACTTGGGAAGCTGAGGCAAGAGGATCACTTCAAGTTTGAGACCAAGGGGCTGGGGATTAAGCTCAGTGGCACAGCACCTGCCCAGCAAGTGCAAGGCGATGATTCCGGGTGGCGGGGGTGGGGGTGGGGGTGGGGGGAGCAGGGCGGAGTTTGAGACCAGCTTGGGCTACATAGCCACCTGTCTCAAAACAAAACAAAACAAAACAAAAATATGGGGCCTGGGGATATAGCTCTGTGGTAGAATGCTTGCCTAAAAATGTGTGAAGCCCTGGGTTCGTTCCCTACTGCTAAGAAAAAAAAAAAAAAAAATTAACCAAGCATGATGGCACGTAGCTGCAGTCTCAGCACATTGGGAAGATCCCAAGTTCGAGCTCAGCCTGGGCAACGTAGTGAGACCCTGTGTTAAAATAAAAAATAACAAGATTAGGGATATAGTTCAGCGTGAAGGCCCCAGGTTCAATCTCAACCTCCAGTACTACAAAATAAATATATAATCCTAACAGGTATCCTAAAAATTCAGGTCATTAATCTCTTAATGACCTGAATGTGCAGAATGTGAGAATTACAGGTGTGAGAATTCCAGGGAAAAGGTCATACAAACATTCAACAATTCAAAAAAAAAATTTTTTAATATTTGGCAACTTCTCCCGCATACTATGTATAGGTACCATATATCTTGAATTGTGACTGAGGTAGGAGGATCACAAGTTGAAGGCCAGCCTGGGTAACTTACTGAGAACCTGTCTCCCAGTGAAACGGGGTGAGTATGTAGCTCAGTGGTTCGACACTTGTCTGGCATACCCAAGGCCCGGTGTTCAGTTTCCAGGACCAAGGGCAGACGGTTAAATCTGCCCTGCAGCTGCCTCCAGTTTGAAGCCGTCTGTAGTGAACCGCCAGCTAATATTACAGTATTTTCTTGGAACAGCTGAGTCTTAGCCAATCACATAAAGCAAATTCCTCACAACACCGTGCCCAAATAAGGTGAATGCAGAGCTGTGACCCATCAGGCTATCTCTGTACCCACTTCCTTTTTCTGTCTATAAATGCTGCCCATCCACTCTGTGAGGTGGACTCCTCCTGGTTCTGAATGCTGCCTGATTTATGAATCAGTCTTTGCTTCAATTAACTCTTCCAAGTTTACTTTGTTTTTAACAATGGGGTGACTCATTTTGAAAACTAGCATTTGTCGAAATGCATGATAAAGATGTCCTGAAGGACAGCTGAAAAAGCAAGAGACTGCAGCAAACAAAACTGAGGGGTGGTGGGCCCTGCCCAAAATAAGCACTCGGCACACAGTGGGGTGGGGACGCAGACCCTCATTCGCTTTGGCCTCTACGCTGAAACACCCTTTAGAAAAGGAAACCAATCCCACACCTTAGCCACAAACTGAAAACCTTAAGCGGAGCTCCAAGACAGGCTGAGCAGAAATGATGGCTCAACTCTTTCTACTAAGAGCAAACAGAAACTTAGCAAGAACCCAGGACCACACTGAAAGCTCAAACTGACTAATTTCCTCAGAAAGGAAATTGCTATTGTTTCACCGACTGAAGCAGAGAAGAAATCTGTCACCCTTAGTACCTCTGCACACTCTCGGCTACAGACTGAGCACATTCCAGCCTAAAGAGACGGGAACATCTTCTTTATTATAAGCTCCACCCTTGTGTTTAGAACCTAGCAGTACCTACAGTACTGAAAAGCTGTAATTTAAAACTCTCTATACTGTGTATCATTGCACCATGTGACAGAGGTCAGATTCTCTACCATCTCTTGCCCACGGGGATACAAGTTCACAACTCCAGAAGATTAAATGCCAAAAACTTTCCTTTCCAGCCAGCTGACGACCTCCCTCTCCCTGGCAGGCTCCACATCAGAGACAGATGCACATGCAGTCCTCCGCCAGGGCCTGCTTCGAAGACCAAGACAAGAAGCCCGCACCGGCTGACACCGCGAGGCTGTGCGCGCTGCACTTACGTGATGGCAACGTTGCTCCCGTCTATAACAATATGCTTCAAATCCGCTCTTCCGGGCTCATTTTTTAATTCCAGCTTGTAGGGTACTTTCAGCGTATCTCGAAACCTTTGAACGCCTGTAACTGAGGAATCGATGTGATCGGAAGGTCCTGCCAATCTTGCCTCACTAACTGAAGGTAGCAGCAGGGGCAGCGGCCCTGCTGGTGAGAGGGGTAGACAGTTTGGCTTGGGCTGAAGAGCGCCACAACACCCCAAAGGTTTCTCACAGGCAGCTTTCACATTATTCGGAAGCAAGGCTTCTGCTTGCTGCTGTAAACCATTTTCATGAAAAACTGGGACTCTAGGCTGGTGACCTGAAGCTCCCCTTGAAACAAAATTAACATCTTTGGGACTTGGTGGGGTGACAGAGGCGGAAAGGCCATCGGTTTCAAGGTCTGCATTACAGACATAGCTATGGTGTGGGCCCTGGATTTCGTGTTTCTGTTCTGCTGGGACTGCTCTGAAAGTACTACGTTTGCAGTTTGAGGTACATGGTTTAGCCTCTACTTTGAATGGCAACTGAGAAAACTTCTCTCCTGTATTTTGCTGTGCGTAAGCCTGTGTCTTCTTCGGAGTGGAATCTGCTGTAAGCTCATTTGTGCTGCCACAAATACCTTTACTTTTGGTTTTAGTGGTGTCTGGATACACAGTACTGGGTGAAAATTCTCTGTCTTCTTGGAACCGTTTATTTTCTTTTTCAATTTCTTCCAAGAGCAATAATGGTTCAGTAGAAGGCCCATACTCCCTAATGACCTTTTCAACAATTTCTTGAGAGTAGCCCATGGTTTTAAAAAAGTTGACAAGGATGTTGTATTCCATCTCCTCTGTAGTGTCTTTCACATCCAGACTTAAGTTTTCAGAGTCAACAGAAGAGTCAGAGAGGTCGATGATGACATTTCCAGCTGATGGCTTGCCATCCTGTAAAAGCTCTTCCTCTTGAACATTTTCTAAGGAAAACTGCTTCTTGGTGTGCCTTTCCTCGGAATCAGAAAATCTCCTTTTGCAACAAACTCTCTCTTTGGAAAGGGCCTCCTCGTTGGGGTTTACACCATTTACCGGCTGCACAAAGCGCACATCTGGTGAACTAGAAAAGACCGTGTCCATTTGTTCTGTAAGCTCAGAAACGGGAGTCCGGGCTTTATTTCTCACATCTTCCTGCAGAACAGTTTCATCTCTAGAAACACTCAGTCCTGTGGCAGCATTCTGTGCAAACTCTGTTTGCTGAGCATCTCCAGTTTCACTAACCTCACCGCCTCTGGTTTCAAACAGATTCTCCTCGCCCTGGGTGAGACTCAAGAGCTCTTTTTTCAAGGAAGTGGGCAAAATCAACAAATCCATTGTGTAATTGTCTGCCCGAGCTTCAACGAATTGCTTGAATTCCCTTTTTACCTCTGAGTCTTTCTGACTGCTGGGTAGGTTCTCATTGTTCTCAAAGAGCTTCACAAACTGCTGAATATGACTCCTGGCCATGACCACAGCCTCCGCGCTTCCTCTGATGCCGAGAAGGCCAATGTCCAGGACACAGAGGTCTGCACACGTATCCTGGATCAAGCTTTTCAGAAACAGACTGTGAGCCCCAACAAAAATGCAGTGCATCGCTTTGGGGTAACACTCTCTTTCCTCCAGTTCAGGTTCACAGATGCCTTTGATGTACTCCTGTAAAGACAAAGTAAGAAATTCAGCTCTCTCTACAAAAGCTCCTTAACTGTGGATGTGATGTTACACGTGTACTTACAAACATCAAAGTGATTTCACAAACGATCTTAAGCATGTTTATAATTTTGAGGAGAATGCCATGGTTTCAATAAAAGTTTGAAAACAACAGACAGGCCGGGCATGGTGGCGCAGGCCTGTAATCCCAACACTCGGGAGGCTGAGGCAGGAAGATCGTTGTGAGTTTGAGGCCAGTCTGGGCTACAAAGGGAGCTCAAGGCCAGCCTGAACAGCATAGCCAGACCCTGTCTCAAAAAGACAAAAAAAAAAAAAAAAAAAGACATAAGCTGTTTAATTATCTTTACAGGAATTGGAAACTTTGCATCTGAAAGGCAGGTATTGGCAACATTTTAAGTGTATATCTTGCAGTGTGATCTTAGGTGTTTGCCTAGCTACACAGAATATAATCCTGAGTCTGGACTTATTTTCATCTAAAGAATAAACATCTTTGTTCACTATCAGTCATTTATCACTACCATGACATAATCTAGAGATAACATAGTCCCATTAGAGAAATCTTGCCTTTTGCTTTGCTACCATTATTCTTGGTTTTCAGCTATAATGAAACACAGTACCCCTTGTGTCCAGATTTGTTGAAGTCATTTAGAAAGAACAAGATTGTTTCACAAAAATTTTTTCCAGTTGCTTAGAACAATCTACATCCTATATAATTTCATGGTTTTTTTCTAAGAAGATCAGACTGTTTAAAATAGACACAAACGTAAGTATAAAGAACTAGAGAATGCTAAGAAGCACTGCCATTCTCAAGGGAAGAAAGGGAACTGGGGCTGCTACAGAAGACAAGAATTAGGCGAGCAAGTACGCACACGGACAATGAGACTATCTGTTAACACACCAACTTCAGTTCCACAGTTTGGGTCAGTGTTTTGGTCTCACAGTGTGGCTACAGCACCACTGGTATGATCCTGTGTAAGTTACCCAGTCTTCTAAGCCCAGTTTCTTCAACTGTGAAAGTGGTAAAAATAGTGCAATCACAGAAAGTTGGAGAGAATCAGACATAATGAATATGAAGTCCTGGCAGCAGTGTGTTGCTTACTCAGTAGTAACGTCATTACTTAACTCATCAGCGAAAACCTTCGGAGAGACATTTGTGAGACACGAGCCTGACGTGATACCAGATCCACACTCTCAACTGAAATCACAACGGCACTGCCAAAGTTGGTGCCAAGTCTACCCTGCACAGCACCAGTCCGCAGACGCTCGCCGCACACACCGCACTTGCAGTGGCAAACTCGTCCGCAGTCAGAATTTACATTCACATGTGCACACATGTGTACACATTCCCTGTGCATCCCTGGCTCAGAGCACAGAATCCCTACGAGATGAGACCCCAGAAGCCTGAGGAAGACTTCACAGAGAAGCGAGACACAGTAACAGGGTGCTGGCTGTATGTTCCCCAAGTGGGCCGGGGGTCTTCAGTCCTGGTGGGTAAGCACAGAAGCCTCTGCTGCTGGACAGACGCCCTGCGCCACGCCCTGCACCATTTGGTCTTATTGGTAACATGGTAACTTCATTAAACCAAAGTGTTAACAACTGATCATCCTTTCTTCCTAAACATGTAAACAAAGTGTTAAATACTCACGTCAGCATGCTTAACACTGAAACAGTCTGAAATATTTGTAAAATTCTCCAGCTAAACTCAACATTCTTTATGGAAGTTCTTAAATTAACTCAATTTCTTCACTCGCTTAAGGATATTCAAATTATCTATTTCATACTGGGCAATTATGGTAGTTTGCACTCTTCAAGGAATTAGTGCAGTTCACTAAAATTGCTAAAATTACATACCCAGAGTTGCACTATTTTTTAAAAATCTTTTAAATGTCTGAAGAGCCAGGCGTGGTGGCGCATGCCTGTAATCCCAGCACTTGGGAGGTTGAGGCAGGAGGATCGCTGAGAGTTCAAGGCCAGCCTGGGCTACAAAGTGAGATCAAGGCCGGCCTGAACTGCATAGTGAGACCCTGTCTCAAAAAGACAAAAAAAAAGTCTGAAGATTGCAGTTGCATCCTGTTTCATTCCTCGTATCAGTAATTTGTCTTTTCTTTCTCATGTCGCCAAAAGATTTATCACTTTTTTTTTTTTTTTTTTTTTTTTTTTTTTAAGGCAGGGTCTCACTATATAGTGCAGGCTAGTCTTGAACTTGTTTACATAGCCCAGGCTGGCCTTGAACTCCTGGCAATCCTCCTGCCTCAGCCTCCCAAGTGCTGGGATTATATAGGCATGCACCACCATGCCCAGTAAGATTTATCAATTTTTCAATTCAAAGAATGGATTTTTGTTTAGTTGATTTTGTTTCTATTTTAATATATGTTCCTATCTTTTTTATATTTCTCTCTTTCTGCTTTAGTGTATTTCATTCTAAACTTTAGGTCCTTGAAGTAGAAGTTTAGGTGGAGCCTTCCTTTCTAATGTATGCATTTATATGTTATAAACTTACCTTTGAGCCAGACGTGGTGGCACATACCTGTACCCCAGCACCCAAGAGGCTGAGGCAAGAGGACCACTGAGAGTTTGAGGCCAACGTGGGCTACTTAGCAAACTCAATACCAACCTAAATCTATATAGTGAGACCTTGTCTCAAAATACCAAAAAACAAGCCAGGCCTGGTGGTGCACACTTGTAATCCCAGCACTCAAGAGGCTGAAGCAGGACGATCACCACAAGTTCAAGGGCAGCCTAGACTATAGAGTGAATTCAAGGCAAGCTGGAACTACATAGTAAGATCCTATCTCAAAAAAAAAAAAAAAAAAAGGAAAGAAACTTCTCTTTGAGCAATGCTTCAGCAGTATCCCAGTAGTCTGATATGTTGTATTTTCATTTAGTTTAGTGCAATTTTTAGAACCTTTCTTGAGAGGTAGCTCAACGGAAGAACACTCTTTAATATGCCTGAGACCCTGCGTTTCACCCTAAACACACACACTGGTATCTCTAGAAAAGCCATGTTCTGAAGGTAAAAAAAAAAGTGTTGTTTAGTTTCCAAGCATTCTCCAGTCTCCAGTTATCTTTGCATTACTGGTTTCTAGTTTGATTACTTCGTGGTCAGAACACTCTACGTGATTTCAATTCTTTTCAATATGTTCAATCTGTTTCATGGCTGGGGCGGGAGTTTACCTTGATAGCTCTGTGGGTGCTTGAGAAGAATATGTACTCTACTACCACTGGCTAACCCTCTCTACAGTCGTCTCTGGCAACCTGGTGGCGGGTACAGGCGGCAAGCTCTGGGTCCTTGCTGATTCACTGTTTTCAGCTGTTTAATGGTCTATCAACTGTTCAGGAAAGACAGCTGAAGTCTCCAACCACTACTGTGGATTTACAATTTCTTATTTTGGTTTTGGCAGTTTTGCTGCTCTGCTAGGAATACATACATTTGGCATTGTTATATAATCTCTCCCTCTCAAAATGACCCTCATCATTATGTACTATCATCGCTGATATTTTTTTTTTGCTCTAAAGGCTACTTTGGTAATACTATTGTCACTATACCTTTCATTTGATTAATGCGTACATGGTATATTTTTCTTCGTTTTATTTTTTGAATATTGTTGTACTCTTTTGAGTGTGTATTTTTTTTTTCTTTTTTCTATTTTTTGGTCTTTTTGAGACACGGTCTCGTTGTGTAGTTCAGGTTGGCACTGAGCTCACTTTATAGCCCAGGCTGGTCCCAAATTCGTAACAATCCTCCTGCCTCAGCCTCCCGAGTGCTGGGATTACAGGCATGTACCACCATGCCCAGCTGTTCCACTTTTTATTTTACAACAGAATTATCTCTTGCAATTAAGATTCACACACACGCGCGCGCGCACGAATCCACCCAGAACCCTGAACCTTCACAATGATCCATATCCCCAGTCCTTTCTTAATGTTTTATTTTTGAGACAGGATCTTGGCTAAGGTGCTCAATTGCCCAGGCTGGGCTTGAGCGTATGATACTCCCGCTTGCTCCCAGAGTGCTGGAATTACGGGTGTGCCCCACCATGCTTGGTTTCAATTTTTCATTAAAGACTGACTCTCATAAATTACTGAGTAGCAACAATTTATTATACTCATATTTAGAAGTGAACAATGAAATACACAGCATTATTACATTTTAGGAGCCAGGTGTCATCAGGTACACGGATAAGAAAGACGCTGTAGATCCAAACATCCATCACTTGCATTTGGTTGTATTTGGTATCCGAACATTCTTAGTATAGTTCAAGCCCGTCGCGCCCACCCTGAAATGATCAATTTCCCTTTTACCCAGTGAAAGGAATTTCTATTACTGTACCTTCAACAAACTCAGCTCTGCTCAACACTATCAGCATTTCACAAAGCCAGGCAGAAGACCCTAAGCCCAGGGGTGATCAGAGCAAGTCTCTCTACACCACTGTCATGTTTTACAAAGAACACACACAAGGGGGCTCTGCCAGCCTCACGGCCAGTTCCACACTTGCAGAAGCAGCCGACCCGGGGGAACAACTTCAGCTGCTACCTGCAGAGTGTGCAGGATCAAGTGACAACTGACAGCACCCATGCCAACGCTCACCGAAGGCAGCAACAGCTAAAAACCACCACGACTGGAGAGCACCATCCCGGCTGCGGACTGGCTGCCAGGCATCCCTGCAGCACAGCACAGCAAAGAATGCCAGATACCCACAAATCACACAGGAAGGAGCAACGCTACATTCCCAGAAGCCCTCAAGGCGCGAGAGTTCTACAACGGTTGTGGCTGCACACTTTGGGGATTCTAAAGATACTTTTCTACTTAGAAAACATGTCCATAAGAGTTCTTGTATTATCTTTCAGGTTTTTTTGTTTGTTTGTTTTTGTTTTTGTCTTTTTGAGACCGGGTCTTGCTATGCAGTTCAGGCTGGCTTTGAACTAACTATGTAGCCCAAGGTGGCCTTGACCTCAACAGCAGTCCCCAGCGCTGGGACTGCGCC